GAGTGCTACAACTCCCAGGAGGCTCCAGCATGACACTGTGGCTGGGGATGGGTGGAGGTTGTCGGATTATTTGTGTCTAAAGATGTATAGCATTGTGCCCTAAGTAACTTTGTTCTGTGGTGGTAACTGATAAAAACACATCTTGATTTTTCATGTCTAAATATAGCAACAGAATTATCTAGAGGGTTGTTTTGTTTTTCTTGTATTGGTCAGAGTGAGCATTACTGTTAGAGAACACTATTGATTGACAGTTTAATACATATTTCTGGTTTTTCCATTCACATTTTTTTAGTTGATACCAAATATGAAATGGCACCAGAAGTTAGCAACAAGAAGATAGCTTGTGTGTTTGTACACAGAAAATTGACCTTTGTGTTTCAGCTTAACATTTATATACTAAGAGCAATCATTTGTTTTGACAGCAGAATTAATTGAGGCTAAAACAGTCGAAATTCCACTTGTATCAAGCTGTTCATTAAGAATTGCTCTTTGGCTTTAGTGCTGTCAGAAAAATAACCTGTCCCGCTATGATTAAATAGCAGAATGATCGTCGGTCCACTGCATTTGAGAAAGAGGTTGAATAAACTTTCTACTGCAGAAACAATTCAGAAGTGACACACTGCAAGGGGGGTCAGAATGTGCATTGATATCCAGCTGAGCTGTCAACTGGCACTGAGCCAGACACGCAAAGCTTTGCCATTTTGAAGCAGCATGTGAAGCATATGCAGTTTTGAAAAAATTGTCCTCCTTTCATGCATGATTTAATGCCAGAGGGGGAAAAACCTTTTGTTTTCATTTAAAACCAAGCCTACTGTCTTCTATAGTATTTGTATCTGCAAGTAGGTCTACAACTTACATGGCTTTTAAGTGGTGGCTACTTTTCATAGTGCTTCCATATAACATTTAGCACTTGGTTGGTTACTGTATCTTTCTACTAGAAGTGTTATCCTGAAATACTCAGATTTTTATTTTACTGTTCAGTTTATATTATTAATCAATTTTAGGAATGCATAGGTGCTGTTTACCTACTGTAAAGTTAGAATTACCTTCATGCATTCTTCTCTACCTACCTACTTAAATATTCAGTGCCTTTTTTAGGTATTTCAATCCTATAAGGGTGTAGCATTTGTCAAGCTTGGCCTATCTACTTTTGCAGAATGCATACTAGCTGACCGGTTGTGACACTAACTGATAGATGAAACACTTAACTGTTTTCAAGGCCATTAGTGCCACTTCACAGATTAATTAGGTGGCAGGTGACGCTGTGAGATGACTGAATTTAAAAACTGTCCCATTCATCCCTCTTGAGAAATGAAGTGCATCATCGGTGACTGGCAATCAAGAAATCTGAACTAGACTCAAAACAGAATTTGGTACATTTAGTACAGTATCATCAGTGTAGCTTCCAGTTTGAATAAACAAATATTTGAAAGTGGGGTCCAATTTCTTTTGAGTACTGCTATTGAATTTTTTGTTGTAGCAAAGCATTCTGACTCTTTCCTTATAAAAGGACCAATCAGATGTGTGTGTGTATGTGGCCAATTTCTTACATAATAAGATACTGTACAACTTTGTGTAGAGCCCAAGTTAGAAATAACTTTAGTATTGTGTAACACAGATGGGTTTCTAAGACATGACAACCCATTGTGGATGCTCATTTTTTATGAACCCAGACTGTTTTCTGTAGAGTGGCTTGTTAGTGGATTTGGACTGCATGACAACTCATGGCTTCTTTTAGTGGTTGTTGCACCCACATTGGGTCAGTGTGTAGTCTGAACCCAGGTAGCCAGTCCCGTCATGAGTATAGGGAAGTTGCAGGTGAACCACTCAACAGGTGTCACCAGCCAAGCTCACCAGTAACAGCCACTCTGCCAATTTCCCAAGTGGCACTTCAGATCACCCATTGGTATGGTCTCCTCCCACACCTGACTATGACCCCATTTCCCATTTTCATGGCTTGTTTCAACCATTGATGGACACTGACAATCAAGGGCCTTTCTTGACAGGGAGATTTGCAAATTGCACGGTTGCAGATGTACATGGCAAAAACCCTTTATCAGTAGCTGATTTTTAAAATAACTTTTACAGCTGTCAAAGCTCTGTCCTCTTGTAAATGGGGTGGGTCAGACTTTTCTGCTTTTCTGAGTTCTAGAGTCTAACAAACAAAAACAAAACAAGCAGCCTAGAGGATCTTTCTGGGAAGGGGAAGAGCAATATGTCACTACTTTTTGCCCACAGAGATTCCATTGTGACATCTCATTTTGATAGCTCACTCTCTGACAAATGTTGGATGAGAAAAAAATAACTTACTTGTAACTTTCTTTGTCATTGTTCCTCAATAGTGCCTTACATACTTTGACAGGTAGCCAGACTTGCTCAACAGAAGAGCAACAAACGATGTTTGCGAGCTGCAAGGGAGTGCCTGCAGGTGATGGTGGCAGGTGACAAGTGGGCACCTGTGTGTGGTGGCTGTGGGTAGCAAGCAACAAGTGGGTACCCGGCTACAAGCTGCAAAATAAAGAGCAGCACGTGGCTCCTGCACCTCGGTTTGGCCACTGCTGCCCCAACATTGATGAGGCAATGTTGTACCTTTGTGATGGAATTGTGCATGTGTGCACCTTTACAGATTTTTTAAAAACCCATGTAAAAAGTTAGAATAACGTGAGGAAATCTCAGGTGTACAAAAAAAACAAAAACAAAAAAGTAACCAGTGACAACTGCACCTTGGGCACTTTGACAGGCATGTCACTGGATGTCACTATAGAGATCATAAAATGTGATCTCCAGGGGAAAAAAGGGGGGAGCCATGACACAGACACAGCCAAAGAGGCTGTGGCTAAAGCTGGGACAGGAAACACGGTGGGTAATGCTGTGGAGACCCCTGGGATACTCACAGGAAGGCCAAGGGGGAAGGAGAGGGGATAGACGACCCATGGTGAACCTGATGTCTGCATACCTTATTTGCAAGGGGGGACATGTTCCTGTCCTAGGACATGCTATGACAGTTCCAGTGACAGACCACATAATACTGGCCCTCAGTATCTTGCCAGCAGGCTTAATTGTCCAAAAAGAAATGCAGGATTTTTAAATGCAATGTATGTGTATCTTCTACATAGAATAGTAGAGTTGGAAGGGGCCTTTGAGAGAGTTGTGGGGGGACAGAGAAACTGTAGTTATAAATATATTGGGGGGTTGACAATTTTTCTAAATTCAAAATCAATGGATTCGGGGTTGCTCAAAAGTAAAAGCAGTGAAAGAAAGTATCAGAAATACACACATGGGTGTGATACCAGAGTGAAAATACATATCCTATACTTCATATTTGAGCAGTAGAGGTTCTTAGCTACTCACCATTTGTACTGCAAGTATGCCTCTCCATGCTTTTCCAGTCATTGTTCACATATATTTGATAAGTGGCTAATACAGCATCGCACATGCAGTCCAAGTACAGAATGCAGAATGAGTAGGTTGTGCTCTAATGGTATAGGTATCATTTCTGAATATAATAAAGAGTACTGTAGCACCTTAAAGTATGATCTGTATATATTCTGGCATACATTTCATGGACTATAGACTACTGCATTAGGTACATGCAGTATCAAAGAGTTTCTGGCATATATCAGGGGAAGGAAAAGAACTGTAAACAGTGAAGTAGAAAGTCAATTAAATATAAAAAGTAGTGATAATGACAGTCCGATTATTAGTTGTGGTCTTGCACAGTGCAGTTGTTGAAGATAACAGCAACTGACATGATGTAAGCAAACTTGTGCATGTAGTATGAGAAGAATTTTTAATCTAAATTCAAGACTCTGGCAACAGAATTAAACCAATCAATGAATTCTGTTACCAGAAGCTTGAATTGGGATATCACACTGGCCACTGTCATTGACTCGTACCTGTTTTATGCATACCTGTGTTTTAAAAAATACATTTTACAGTAAGTTTTCTATATTTCTATATAGTGTTTTTAGCCATTAATTAAAAAAATGAAGATGACTCCTGAGTGGGGTTGTCACAGTTTTAAAATAGGGTTAAAATGGTCTATGAGGTAAATCTATGGAAATATTGATCTAAATAAATGTTGCAGAAGAGGTGTCCATATGTGTGGCGGCAATTATCTTGTTACACTGAGTTTCTCTTGCCAAATTAAAATGTCAGTGGTGAGCACATTTGTGGATCCTTGTGACAGAGATGTTTTCTCCTGAGACTGTGTGGGATGGAGGGAGAGAGAACATCTATACCAATACCTGCCACATGGTGTTTTCACTGTTTATATTCCTTAGACACGTAGGATAGTAGAGTTGGAAGGGGCCAAGAAGGCCATTGAATCCAACCCCCTGCTGTTGTAAGTTACCAGTTTACACCATCCCACTCATTTATTTATGTGTATAATAATAAAAAGGAATGCCTGTCAGCACAATAGGTGCAGGTTCATATGATATAAACACTTGAAACATGACTACTAACGCAGTAAGAATTATTTGGTTTTCAAAGCATATTAATTTTTATTAAAATGAGTCAACATAGTCAAAACCTGAATTACCATCTTCTATCACTAGGTGGTTTTCCTACCAGCTTTCCTTACCAATGCATAAGTTTGCTGCTGATATTGTCTGGGAGGAGTAGTCCAAGGATTGACATTATATTGCACTCTTCCCTTAGGGGAACAGACACTTCCCCCAGGGAGATGCAGAGGTTCACCATGACTGAGTCCATGCATAAGGGAGCCAGAGCCAACGCTATATTCAGACAGGGGAGCACATGTATCCAACTCGTGTACCTTACTAGTTTGCTGTGTCAGAATAAGGTCTGTGCCCACTGTGAAAACCTGGGTATATTTACTTGTCAAACATTATTTTTGTTGCCAGTGGCATATTTTTGAAATGTTTTAACTAGTTACTGAACCCTTAATTGCTTAAATATTATAGCTCTAATTTAATGGAAAATGCCTGTACATAATCCAAAACAAGTAACATGAAATATTTTCCTTGTTTTCAAAGGACTTATTGAATTTGAAGAATGTAATACAGCCAGTGCAGTTGAAGGTGAGTTTATCTTGCATTTCAAAATAATTTAAAACAGATACAGAACCTATCTTGGTTGATGGCAATTTGTCCCCCTCCAAGCATTCCAAAGGATGGATAACACCACAACTACTGAGCTCATTGCTCTATGCAAACCCATTTTGTCTTTCTTCAGGCAGACAAAGGTACAGAGTTCCATGTTTGTCGCAGCACAGAAATGGGAACTCAAAGCTGGGAGCTCACAGATTATGCACTGTTTCAAGCCACTTGGCTAAAAACGTAAGAACAGCAATGCTGAAACAGGCTAATGGTCCATCCAGTCCAGCACTCTGTGCCTATAGCACAATGGGTACAAAAGTTCCACCTACTCATGCTCTTCAGCTACTGGGGAATGCAGGCATAATGGAGGTACCACAGAGCCAACAAGCTTAATAACTATTTATAGTCTTCTGCTCCCTGAATGTGTCCAGTCCTCCTTTAAAGCAATCCAAATTGGTGGCCTTCACTATTTCCCGTGGCAGTGAAATCCATAGTTTCATTCTTCAGTGTGTGAAGAAGTACTTCTGTCTTGAATGTCCCAACAATCAGCTTCATGAAGTGACCCCTGGTTCTTCTATTATGGGAGACAAAGTCAGATGTCCCTTTCTTCACTTTCTCCACACAGTGCATATTTTTAAATAATTCCTATCATGTCTCCCCTTACCCAACCCCTCAACTTCCTCATGTGGGAGTTGTTCCTATGCCTTCATCATTTTAGTTGTCCGCTGACCGCTGTGCACTTTCTCCAATTCAGAGTGTCCTTTTTAGGTTTGGTGACCAGAACTATCCACAATATTCTAAGTGTGTTTGCACCGTAAGGGGAGTACAGTACTGGTCATTTAATGTTTGATTCCTTTCCTAATTATTGCCAGCATGCAATAATTATTTTTGATTCCTTTGATTTCACCCAGTACACCAGAACAGACATTAAGCTACGTGGCCTGTAATTTCTTGGATCACCCTGATCCTTTTTAGAAAATTGATGCTAATGTGGTCATTTCCAAGTCTTCTGGTACAAAGGCTAATCTTAGGAACCTGTTAAATATTTTGGTAAGAAGATCAGCAATTTCATATATGAGGTCTGGGATGAATACCATCTGGGCCTGGTAATTTATTATCATTCAGTTTGTCCAATTGAGAATTTCGTCTTGTCACTGCTGTCTGCCTTTATTCCTTAATGCATCAGTTCAGGATCAGGTGTCTGTTCTGTGTCCTCTGCTATGAAGACGGATGAAAAAAATTAACCAAGATTCTCTGCAACCTCCTGTATCTCTGTTCATGCTCATTTAATCCCATTATCATCCAGTGGTCCAGCTGCCTCCGTGACTGGTTTCTTTCTTTAGATATTTTTAAAGATTTTTTATTATTATTAGCTTTGATGTTGTTAGTAATGTGCTGTTCAGAATGTCTCTTTGCTTCCCTTACTGTCTACATGGCTCACCCCTGTGCAAGTTTGTGCTCTCTTTTGTTTTCTTGATTTAAGTAAGAGTTCTGTTTCTTGAAGAAATCCATCTTCTCTCTGATAGCTTCCTTGACTCTAATTGTTAACTATGCCAGTGACCTCTTGGATCTCATGCTACCATTCCTAACCTGTGTTGTACATACTATCTATGCCTCTATTTTTGTGGTTTAGAGTAATCTCCAAGCATTTTGATGGGATTAACCCTCTAGACTCCCTTCTTTAACTTCTTTTATTAACAGTTTCTTCATTAGTTTCTTCATTTTAGAGAAGTTTTCTCTTCTGTAAATGTAATTGTGTTGGACCACTTTTGCAGTCTTCCATAACACTGTGTATTAAAATCTTATAAATTTAAAAATTTATAAATATAAATTTATAAAAAATACATCAATATTAAATTTTTCATCACTGATTCCAATTGGTTCAATGCCATTTACTGCATTTATATTTGATACTATGTCCTGGGCAACCCCACTTAGGATTTATTCTAGGATTGCCTTTCCAGCAGTTGATGAACCATGAACAACTGGTCTACAGCACAGACATTTAGGACATCCAGAAATTTAACTGTCCTATCAGAACTGGAACATATATTTATCTAGTCAGTGTGTAGTAGTTGAAGTCACCCATTCTTACAACTCTGCCTTCACTGAGGCCTCCTGGTTTAATTCTCCATCTCAAGATCACCCTGTACATTCTGGTCTTGGGGTCACTAGTTTATTCACTAAATTAGTTTGGAGCTAGGTAGTGTTGTCCACAGTGCTTCTGTAGAGGAGTTTGCACATTTTAGATTATCAGGCTTGTTGGCCTTTTTACCATCTTTGACATACAGAACAAAACTTCCAGTATACCTTTCTCTGTCCTTCGTATACAGTTTATATCCAGAGATGACCCTCTCCTATTGGTTCTCTGAATTCCCCCAGGTTTCCATAATGCCCACTGTATGTAGCTTCTCCTTTAAAACCAGACACTCCAGTTCTCCAATTTTGGCTCTGAGTCTTCTGGTATGCACATAGAAACACCTAAACACAGTGTTTCTCTTCTGATGTAAGCAACTTACCTTTTGGCACTTCAGCCTCTCTGGTTGGTTATAATGTCTCACCATAAGGTTATAGTTATTTTCTCTCTTATGTTTGGTCATCGCCATCCTTTAAGGATGATTTCACCCATAGTGGATGCTTCCCAGCTCTTGTTGGCTTTCCCCAGGATTCAGCTTAAAAGCTGCTCTAGCATGTCTTTTATGTTATGCAGCCAGGCTAGTATTTGGAAAACCATCCTCTCCTCCTAAAGTTGTCTGAGCATCCTGCTTTTTGTATCTTCGTGAGGAATGAGGGGATTCCTCCAAGGGGCAGGAACCCAGGAAGTCTCTGTGGCTTGATCCAGAACTTGAGCAACCCAGAGGTTCTGTATCCGTGCTCTGCTATTTACAGTTTAGGTTATTCCTATTAAGCATCAAAAACTGATTTTAAATTGTAAGGCTTAAAATATTAGGTGAAATAATTCTTCAAGGTAAGATGAAAGTATGTTTAGTATAACTGAAAAGGATCAGAATTTTTATGTTTTATCTCCCTCATGAGCCAGAGTTTGCATTGTCTGTATGTTCTAATCCATGGGTCCTCAAACTACGGCCCGCGGGCTGAATCCGGCCTGCCATGCCCATATCCGGCCCACCTCAGAGGTTTTGGTCTGTCCGCACCTGCCGCCTGCCTCATCAAATGCGCAGCGAGGTGGCAGCTTGCTCGCTCGGAAATTGTTTTGGATTCACTCAGACATCTCCGAGTGAGCAAGCTGCTGCCTCGCCGTGCGCACACCTGCCACCACCTCACCATGAGCACGCGCACATGTGTGCACTGCCACCTCACTGGCCTGCGCCCGCGGGCACCCCTGCCTCACCAGCCCATGCCTGCCACCGCCACCTTTCAACTGGCTCCCTGTTAAAAAAAGATTGAGGACCCCTGTTCTAATCACAGAAGCTGTAGAAAAGTGTTTAACTCTGTTTTCTCCTAGTTAATGGAAGGCAGATTCCCTTGCCCCCTGCACATATACTCAGAGTCAGGTGTCCCTGAATCCAGTGCATGTAAATAGAACCATTCCCTCAAATCTTTTCTGTTAGATCTTCAGTATATGATTTTTAAAAAGTACACTGGCACCATTGACCTTTCTGGAACTCAAGAGGTTTCAGGAAGAAAATGTGAATTCTTACCAGTCTTTTGGCGGCGGGCAGTTTTGGGACAGAAACCATTGTTAGACATCCTTTAGAGACGTGAACTGTTAACATGGAGTTTTTGACTGCTTTCATTCTACCTAATGGCAAGTGTGAGGACTGGGGAAACTGTTTTGCTAGAATTCTATTTTTTCCCTTTTTTTGTTAGAACAAGTTTGAAAAGGTTTTGCTGGGGACTGTTTTTTTAGCTGCAGTTTTCCAGTGAGAAATAGAAATAAGAAACAGTGCAAAAGTGCCATTTCCACACTCTGTTGCTTTTATCAGCTGGGCTGGGCCGGGCCATGCCTCCTGCCTTACTAGTTTCTGAGAAAGAAAGCGGCAGCAGAGAGGAGGAACTGTCATCTCCACTTGTTCCTGCTTTTATCAGTCTGCCTTGGTGAGATTAACTACTGCCTGAATTTTCATATATTTCTTTCTCCCATCTCTTTTGCCTTTTATGTTTTATCATTTAGATTTTAATTACTGATATGTAATTTGCTTTGGGAACTTTTTTCGCTAAAGAGCAGGATATACATTTCTTAGGCAAATTAATGAATGCAGTTGTCCTAAAGTTCAGCATTGGGCAAGCTTCATGGAGATGTGTTCTCAGGTTTCCTCAGGACACTGATGCCATTCACTCTACTAACTTTTCAGAAGATCTAGGCAAGATATTGAAAGCCAAGAGTGGCCAAACTGAAGCTCTGTTCAAACAAGATTAGCATACCAGTTCTCTTGTATATGTGTATTATGACATGTGCTGATCTGCTTGAGTAAAGTGTCACTTTATGCATTGGGGTGCACTTGTCTGTGTTCTCTCTGCATGAAGACAAATTTTGCATTTACAGTCACAAGCTATTTATTGGAGATTCGTATACCTTTTAAGTGTGGTTTTAATCTAACAGCAAATTAATTGCTTATGTTTGCAGGCATAAAGCCAAGAAAAAGGAAGCATTTTGGGTTACCAGGGATTATTAAGAAGGAAAAGGATACAGAATCTGTGTAAGTATATCTCAAAGTTGTTAGTGCATTAAAAAAAAATTCATGCAGGAGTCTTTTTTTCAACCCAGAAAGCTTCAGTTTTAACAAAGCTTTCAGGGGCTGCAATCCATTAATGGATGGTGTCAAAAGAAATGAGGCAAAGCCAAAGAGGCAGAGTTTTCTGTGGGTAATTGTGATCAAAATGGCATACACACTAAGGGTGGCCCTAGTTGTGAAATGAGCATTCTCTTGGAAGTGTTACCTGCCCATGGGGTTTTTGGCAACTATTGTGAAAATTGCATTTGTCATAGAGGTGTCCCTTGTCAGAAAACCTGAAGGACATATGCATGAAATAAGGTTTTATAATGAATGAAAATTAGTTAAGACTGTGTCATCTTCTGCTCAAGTGCAATAAGACTGGGGTGGTTGATGAATGTGCAGCATACTGGAGGGATTGAACATAAAGCATTCAAGCAAGTGTGCAGTAATTATATACTCCCAGTTCCCACAGATGCCACAAAACTGGTTTTAACGTTCTTATTCTTGGAATGCAAACAGCCCTAAACATTGGATCAATCCTATAATATTGGTCAGCCTCCTCCTTCCCTCACTCAGAACACTGAGACTGGAGAGGCCTGGTGAAACCTTTGATCCAGTTGGCTCTGGGAGAGCCCTACTTTGATTCAGCTTGGTTCAGGATTAGTCAGATTCACAGCAAACCTCTACAGAATACTGTTTTTAAAAGGAGGATTAAAGTATGTTTATTAATATGCACAATATAAAACTGAAATACTCAGTGCTTTTTTTTGTAAAAAAAAAAAAAAGTGCCGGAACTCACCTCTTGGGGTCAGTCACTCTACACACACATAAACATAATGGTCGCAGCCGGCAGTAAGCACTGAGCGCACGACCACACGACCGATCCCAAGCTGAGCAGCTTCCCAAGCCGAACAGCGCCCTCCCAGCAGCGCCGACACACACGCAGCCCGCAGGCACTATTTTAATGCTTTTTGTTGCCGACCTGCTACGCCCGACAGGGCGATTCACAATCACATGGAAGAATCCATCAAAAAAAAGTGCCAGAATGCCGTTCTGGTGCGTTCTATGACAAAAAAAGCCCTGGAAATACTTCATTTGTTTTTATGAATTGGTCTTCTAAACAGAGCAGTTCTTCAGTTATTTAAATGAAATATATTGGCTGGATAAAGGATAAAATATTAATGTCATAACTTAAGATAAGACAAAAGTGTTTTTGATCACAAGTACAGATCCAGGAATATGGGTTCTGCCTCTCTTGAAAAAAGCTTAAACACTTAATGTGCAAGGTAGGCTCAGGCTTTGGTAGTGCTCCTAGATTATTAAGTTTGCAATGTGAGCAAGAATACCTTGCCCAGCTTTGGTTAGTGTGCCAACAATATGAATTTTTTGAAAAGCTGGCCATTGTATTGTTGTCCTTCCACTAGTAGTCAAATACCATTTTATTAGAGAAGGTCTTTGGCCTGCAAGTTGATCTGTTGGGTTAGGTGCTGTTTTGTTTTGTTTTGTTTTGTTTTGTTTTATTTTATTTTATTTTATTTTTTGTAATTTCTATTTTTATTGTATTTTGGTGTATTTTATTGTTTGAAACATTTGCATTATGCCTGTAAGCATAATTCATAGGCCATGTTTTGGTAGAAAAGAGAAGTACAAATCAAATTAGTTGCATTTCTTAGTTACAACAAAGTTGGCTTACTGCAACTATGCAAGTCTACCTTTGAAAAACATTCTGAAATTTCACTTGGTAAAAAACTCAGTAGTACAAGTTCCCACCTGAGCAAGGTTGGTAGGGGTAGTTTGTTTTGTTTTTGCTAGTTCAATTGGTTACACATCCCCACACCTTCTAAGGTGCTATTGGTTGTGAAAAGAACTTTTCTGATATAGCACTCAAACTATACTTTTCATAAGCTGTTAAATACCTTTTTATTGTTCCAATGCTCGTTGAGCTGCAGTGGCTGATTTTATCTCGTTTGGTTCCTTTTGTGATTTTGTTTAAATGTCTGTCTCCCATTTGTGTTTTGGTTAACATTAAGTATTTTGCTGTTTTATATTAGTAACCTTGGGCATTTCTTAAGCAAAGGCTAGAATATAAATATGAATAAATGACCTATACACTATTTTAAAGGCAATATGGAAGCATCTCTATATAATTACATTAAATAGCAAACCAAAAGCCCCTCATATATGTATTTCAACAAGTCATTATGTTTTTTTACAGGGAATGTCCAGATGCTGATTCAATAGTAAGTAGTTGTATTTTAAATAGAATTAAATAAAGCTGTTTTTTGTTTTTGGTGTGAACTTGTAGCTTTACCCAAAGTACGTACAGAATTTTCCTTTGATCATATTTATTTGTAGTTTTCTTTGCTCATTTTATCATTGTTAGCTCCTCTGGCTGAAATGAAACAGTACATTCCTAATATACAAGGGAGTGGAATCTGTTGACAGAACTGTTTTTAGTCCGTTTATGAGGCTTTCAGTATTCTGAAGAATTCATATGTTCACTTTATTTGTTCATGTGTGCCAATGCTAAAAAGCACTGAGTTAAACAGATAACTATTTTTTATCAATGTTATTTTTTTCTGTAGTCGATGTTGAAGTTGATCTATTCTAAATCATTGCGTCTCAGTAAAACAAATGCTTGTTTTGTGTGACTTTATTCTGAAGAAACTGATAAATAGATCCCTAGAATTATCATGCAAGTCATGGTATTAATGATTTTTGACAGCACAAGGAATAATCAGTGGAGTGAAAAGTAACTGGGGTTGACTTACAGTGTTTACTTTTTTTACTTGCTTGTTTTGGTACTCTATTTAATAATTAATGAAACAAATTCAAGTGTAAATGTGTGGCATAGTTCTTTCAAGCTACACCAAGCATTATAACTTATTCCTTTCCCATCACCCAGTAGTATAATTCTGCTTAACAATTTTAGAACATGAATCTTATTTTCTTTCTGCCGTAATATTTTTCTTTCTGTAATGTTATGCAGTTTTTACAATTCTTTACTGTCAACTTTAGCAAGCATGAGTATTCTTCCATATACCAAGCTTGTGACAAAAGTACACATATTCAGAGATCTCAGTTATTAAGACATATAATGCTATGGCAGAGTTCCTGTCAAAGGAAGGAAACAGTTGTTAGAGTTGTCAGTCTGTTGGAACTTAGTTGTAAGGTATGACTCAAGCATTTTATTTATTTATTTATTTTGTAGAAATGGCTTTAAAAGCAGTATGTCCAAGGAAATCTAGGAATCTATTGGAATGCGGGTTCTTATAAGGGGATTACTCAATTCAGAAATCCACCATTAGTAAAGAAGTTGCCCAAAGGACTGCTTATACACCACTACCTATATGTCCCTGCAGTGCGGAACCACAGGAGAACACTGGATGGGAATCTTGTAATCATTTCATGTAGGATAACAGGCCTGGATGGTGCTCTTCATACATACCCTAGAACTAGCCTTAGATATCTTAACAACATTTAGGAGTTCCCCAGCAGACATAAAAAGAGTTCCATGACAATGATAATTTTTTCTTGTAAATAACTAGTTTCAAAAACTTAGCAAAGTATACACACAAGTTTTACAATGCAGATTAATGAACCCTCCTAGCACTAAACTAGTTTTAGTTATTTTTTGTAAAGAAGCAGGAGGAAATAGAACTGAACTTAGAATATTGATGGTGCTTTTGAACCTAGGGCCATTATAAATTGACTAAATTAGATAGAACTTAGAGCACAGTCCTGTTCTTGTGTCGTGAATCTGGTCTTTTGAAATGTAGGTTCCAAGATACAATGAAATAAAAGCTTTCAGATCAAAAAGCATTGAATCAGTCTACAAAACTTGGTCAAGTACTTAGAGTGTTACTTTTTCAAAATAGCAATGCAGAACAGAGAGAATTATGCCATTGGCATGAAATTCCAAAAACATTGCAACTTTATTATACAGAAGTATCTCCTAGCAAAGCCCATAAGCAAGGATAAAAGTTTCCATCATTAATTTTCTGGGTTAATTTTATGTAGATTTTCCATTTCACAGTACCCAGTCAAAAATGTGTCTGCAGCTTCATCCAAATGTTGACTTTATTATTTGAAAACTGAGTACCATGCAAGCATCATTTCACCTGTGAAAACTTTTACTTGATCTTGTAGCTACCTCTTTGTAATGCATTGTAGTGCTTCTGAAGAGATACATCAATGCCAAATGAACAAAGTTTGGTCCTATGATGCTGGGGAGTATGGCATGGTAGTGCAACTTCATCTTAAAGAATTCCCTGGGCAAGCTGAGCAGCAGTAGAAAACAATAAAGCTGTTATTATTAAACTCTGCTTTGATACTACAATTGAATAGATGCAGAATAGGGACTGAGTGATAGAAAATTCTGTCTTTAAAAAATTACTTACTCCCCCCTCCCTAAGTTTGGTGTATAGCTCCAGTCATTCTTAACTACTGGTTAGGACTGATGGGAATTGTAGTCCAAAAAATCTGGAAGGCAGCAACATCCTTGCCTCTGCTATAAAGATTTAAAACTAGTGTTATACTATCAAGCGTTCACCAGCATGACAAGACTTCCTTTCCATTTTCTCCCCACTATAGCCTTCCAATACTACGTGAAAACCTGCCTTGGTACATTTTCTAGCTAGACCTTCAAAGCAAGAAAATTATCCCCTCCTATTTTCACTGTTCCATTAGCAACATAACAAATTTGGATCCCACCCAAAGATTGGAAGATGAATAGTGTATCATGTATTTTTAGAGATAAGGAGGGAACTTATCCCATAGTTAGGAGGATAACATTGACTTGTTTTCTAAATAAAAACATGCAAACAATTGACAATTATCTATTTTAAGTATTTTATTAGAAAACCTGTTTAGACCATCAGCTGGACCACATTTTATGTTCATATAAAAAGCCAGGTTTCTTCCTCCATATTAAAGAACTGTTTATTCCTCAGTTTGTCATAGGCTGTCCAAACTAGTTTTTAATAGTATTTTTAGCATTTAACTATGATAGCTAACAAAATAGATCCCAACTTCAGCCGTATAACTTCAGAATCTCTTTTGCTTGTGGTGTAATATGGCAATGGCCTCTACCTATTTGTATTTGTACCATTTACTTGTGTCAACTCTTGTTAGTACATTTTATTCTATCAACAAGGTCGGCTTGAGGTCAAGCATAGCTAAAGCTTTGTGATTCTGAAAACATAGAGCTAAGATACTGGCCTGTATGATTGCCACTCTTTCTGTTACTAAAATCATGGTGCTTTTTGAACTCTTGTCCACACATAAAAGAAACTGTACCTGAACATTCTGGATTTAAAATTCTATGCAGCATTTTACCTGCTTAAGCTATGTGATGGTATTTGTTAGGGTAACTGTAACTTTGGAAATGACCGAATTAATCCAATAATAAAAAGGAACAAGTTAAAGAGAAGCATAGTTACTGAGTCTATAATAAAGCAGTCAACACATGTTATCTATCATATTCTCATTCTGCCTAGACTAAGGATAAGACTATGTCATTTGACACAGTTCTCTTACTCTTGAATAAAAATGCTATTATATGATAGCATGAAGAGCATAAAGATTGGCTAGAATAAAGAGCCAATTTCATATTTAGAGAACAAGAAATAGGAGCAAGAGCAAGTCATGCTTTTGCTTTTTTGTTTTCTGAAAATTTGCACATCTTGCTACAAAGGTAAAACACAGCTTATTCCATTTGCATACACATTTTACTGCTTTTTGTGAACATATAGTTCCACCTACAATTTACAACATACAGAAAGAAAAGTAGTGCCATGGTTCATTGGCTATTTCTTTGTGGAGCATCAAACCTGTATATGCTAGGCCCATTTTTTAAATTAATTGGTATTTTCAGTCAACACTATTTTATCTTAACCTCTGATTGTAACAGAGGTTGAATTACATTTCTTCAAAGTGATATAATGTTTGGCGAATGTCTAGGTGAAGGAAAACCACTGAAAATGCAACTCAGACTTGCATCATGTGTACTCCTACTTGAGAATCCCACTCAATCTAACATTTCTATTTAACCATGCATGAGACTGGGCAATTCTTACTACGAATATGAGACACATACATTTCCTTCCTTGTGTTACAATGAAATACCTAACAGCGAGAAAAGTTAATGCATACTCAGAGGCAAAGTATGTATTGTCTACAGTGTACCTAAGCACAGTGCCAAACCTTATATTAGTCACTGCCAGTAAAAATGGACAGCTTTGCTGCTGGAAGCAATGTATAATGGAGTCTTACTTGTGCCCTGTAAGTTGTAACAAGCCAATGCAGGTCTTGTAGCAGTAGTTGAATTTCAGTAACTCACTTAGAATCTAGTCCATAATAGCTGCAATAAGAACAGTCATGCAAGGTTGCAGTATAGCTTAGTGATGAAGTTACAAAAACAGGAATAATAGGCTATAACCCTTATGCTAGAACACTTGGTTTGGAGAGTGTTATATGAGAAGCATTGTTTGATAATCAGGTACATATATGCCATATACTCCAGGCAGTGCCTTTAGTTTGAGGCATAGATTTACAACAGTTTATTTTGTCTGTAGATTACCTAGGTAAGCTTTAATAAACATTCATCTCTTAGTTTTTACACTGCAGCAGAAAAAAAAGTGCTGAAGGTGACAGTATATGTAAACTGATAAATCATTATTACCTAGATTCTGAGATTTCCCTGGACTTAATTGTTCAAAGTTTTTATTGACAGAAGCATACTTGCTTTCATAAACAGATAAAAAGATCATTGATACATACTCAAAATATTTTCAGAACTGCATTGCCCTAATACATTTTCTATTTTCCATCTAGAACATTCCTGACGTAGACGATGAAGGATACAGTATCAAACCTGAAGCAAGCCAGAATATCCTTTTTATTGTTACGCTTATATAGACATCTGGACTTTTTATAAGTCTTTTTGAATATGTTGAACACTATTTTTTTGGGAGGGGAAGTTGGATGAGCCTTAATATTCATTAGCAACTCAATTTCCTCATAATTACTGTATGTACTTTCATCTGTATTCATGGTATAGTGATACTGTTGCTTAACTGATCAATCAGTATTTGCCTTAACTACAAATAACATGCCAAACAGAACCACTTCTATTCCTCAAGTGAATCTGATTCTGATGACGATGAACCAAGGAAGTTCCACGTGGAAATCAAACCTGTACTACCAAACAATAGTTCTCATTATACAATGCCTTCACTGGATGAATTAAAAGAATCAATAGGGAACATCACAATTTCACCAGCTATATCTGTAAGTAACCTGAGCATAGTATTTAGTATATCAGATACATTATGTAATGATTTGTGCTATTTGTTACAAACTTAAAATTAATCAGTATAACATAAATCTATGAACTGTATAGGCTCTGTAACTCAGTTGCGTATTTTTAATGAGCTATATTATAGAATAATAATGGATTTAGGATGCAAATGGACAATAGAACCATCTTAGTTCAGAGATAAAGAGGAAAGAAACCAGCTGCTCAGATTAGCTAGAGCCTAATTAGTTCAGAAGAGAGTCATTCCAAGCTTAGTTCTTGAAGTTTTATTTAAGAATTCTATTTTGCAGCTCAGTTGTTCATATGTATATCAGTAAGCTCAAATTGTGTTAGATTCCATTGTCCATTGAAGTCACATTTTTAGTTGAGGTCTTTAGCTGGGAGGGAGAGTGCATGTCGGTGGCATGTCAGAATTAGAACACTCACATCACACAATCCTACTCAAAACCCTCTTTGTTTGGCTCTTTTGCTTGCTTGCTTTATTTATTTAGTACATCTTCCATTGTGCAAGGATAGATAAATCTCTGGCTAACACAAGTAAACAATGTCTACAGGATTGCCGCTGTCTGCGTGCTTATTGACACTCTCACAGGACTCTAGTAAATGTCTTGCCTTGCAATCTAAGGCTGCATCAAGTGTGTGAAAGGAAATAACATTCTTGCCTGGTTTGCCCAAGTACAGGGAGGTTAACAAGCCATGGTGGGTGTTGATTTGCATACCTCATATTGGAGTTGATATGGAGGTTGTCGTATGCGAGTTGATTTGCATAATTACCCACGCTAGGCACAGCTTCTTAGTTAATCCCAGAACAGGTGGCTTATTGAGATGGTTAACAAACTACCCAGAACCCGTGGCTTGTTGTTTGTTGACTGCCCCAACAAATCACCCTTGCAAGACAAGAAGTGCAGCAGTGAGGCTTGGATCAGACACTTGGTACCTGTGAGTGCCTCAGCCTATCATGGCTTATTACCAATGATCATGTGAATCAAGTGACAGAACATTCTGATCCATCCATGCCTTGTGCTAAAACGACTGCTTCTTGAGAGACTTTATTTCCCAGCTATAGAGAAAGAGGAATTCTAAATATTTGATTTAAAGATCTTCCAAAATAGTTCAGAACATGCACAGAAATTTTAGCTTTCTACGAATTTGAAAAGACAGTACTTCCATGAGCCAAGGCCCCAAATCACTCTATATGAGGATGAATACTATTATAAAATATGCAATTTATAGTCAACCACCCAGAGAGCTTTGGCTGTGGGAACATATAGCAATTAATTAAATCATGCCAGTAAGATTTTCACAAAGAATTCTTGCTTTTTTCTCTATTAAATACTAAATCTGTTTTTAATGCTGTGGGATTTTTATTCTATTAATATTTTAGCTTCTGCACAGTAGGCAATTAGAGAAGAATGTACACTAGAAAATAAAACTTGCATAAAACTGTAAATAATTATGTTTTCTCCATTTTATTTCCTATGCTGACATCAGAGACATAGTCCTGTAAGTATTAAATATACTTGATTAGTAATATCACAGTTTTAACGAAGACTTAAAAGGTGTGGGATAATGATTGTAGTCCAGTTTTTGTAATGTTTTGTAGTGGTTAATTTCAGTTTATGGAAAGTTGACAGTTAATTTTGTAAACACTTTGACTTGCAATAATCCGCTCCATATGTTAGCACCAGGAAAGACAGTACATCCGAAGTCTGTTAAAGAGAAAAGAACAATAGTATGATGATTTTTTATGTTGTTGCATCTGTTAAACCAGCATTTTTAAACCTGTTTCGACCTCCTCTAGGGGTCTTTATTAGATTTACTCCAGTAAGTCTTAGTAAGACATCTACTTTATGTTAGCTCAGAACAGATTTTTCAGAATAGCTTCACAGTTTGGTCCACTACCCTGAGGCCTTTTGAAATGACTTATCCATGGTCTCTAGTATAGATGTAGGTTATTTTTAATAAATAGCACCTGTTGAATAGTACCCATTGACCTGGTTCACATGACAAATAAAGTCGCAGTAGCTTAGATTTATAGTATAGCAGAGTTGGAAGGGACCAGAGTGCCATCATGTCTAATCATCTGCTCAGTGCAGTCCAAGTTAAACCATCCCTCTCAGACAGCTGTCCAGTTGCATCTTGAATGCCTCTAAGTGTGGGAGACCCTTCAATCTCCCTAGGTAATTGTTTCCATTGTTGTACTAGTCTGACAGTCAGGAAGTTCTTCCTGATGTTCTGTCAGAGCCTATCTTCTTGTAACTTGAGATTGTTAATTCCTGTGTCTTGCACTCTGGGATGTTGGAGAAGAGATGGTGGCCTTCCTCTTTGTGACTACCTTTCAAGCATTTGAAGAGTGCTCTTACATCTCTCCTCAGTCTTCTCTTTTTGAGGCTAAACATGCCTGGTCCTTTCAACCTCCCCATTGTTTTCAGTGCCTGGATCACCCTCCTCTTAACTCTTTCCAGTTTGTCTGTGTCTTTTTTTAACTGTGGTGCCCAGAACTGGACGCAGTACTCTAGATGAGGTCTAACCAGTCCTAAGGAAAGGAGAATTAGAACTTCTCATGGTTTGGAAATGATATTTCTGTTAACTCAGCTTAAAATAGCATCTGCGCTTTTTGCAGCCACATCACATTGTTGACTCATATTCAGCTTATGATCTACAATTCCAAAAACCTTGAGCCAAGTATTGCCCATCTTGTACCAATGCATTTGGTTTCTTTTTCCTAGATGCAGAACTTGGCATTTGCCCATGTTGAATTTCATTCCATGGTTTTCAGTCTAGTGCTCCTATCAAGATCACATTGAATCTTATTTCATTTTTTCCAGAATATTAGCTATCCCACTCATTTGTGTCATCTGCAAATTTGATAATTGTTCCCTCCACTTCCTCATTCAGATCATCAATAAAAATATTGAAGAGCACTGGGTCCAGGACTGAATGCTACAGTACTCCACTTGCTAACTCTCCTCAGTTTGAGAAGGTGCCATTGATGAGCACTCTGAGTCCAATTTTGTACCCAACTGGATCTACCTGATAGTTGTTCCATCTAGCACACTTTTAGCTAGTTTGCAGCTAAAAACTAACTAAAAGCTTTGCTGTAAGCTGTAGTGGGTTACTGTGTCATGGAAACCCAGCATGGTTTGGTCACAGTGGCTTAAGTTTTGCTTATAAGCCACCCTTACTTGTCATGGTAGAGTTTGTTTGACCTACAAAAACCCATTGTGGGTTAACCCAGACTGTTAGTGTCTCACTTGGGAAGAGCAGCAAAAATTCTTGCTGTTGTTCCCAAGCAGCTACAGGGAAAGTACCACTGCCAACCACCTCAAACAAATTGAAGTGGACCCAGTGGGCATCTGGCAAAGGCTTTCCTTCTCACTGCAACTGTGGACCATTTTTTGCTTGCCATACCCCTTCCTCCAAAAACATGAGGAATTAGAGTCCACAGTCTTTGTTTTGTCAATTAAGAACGGTTCCTTCAAGATGCCCCAGCAGCACCTTGAAGGGCCTGCCTGTATTTGCCCACCCTTTAAAAAATAAGAACATAGGAAAAGCTTTACTGGATCAGACCAAACATCCATCAAGTCCAGCACTCCCAACACACAGTGGCAAACTCAAGCAGGATGGTTGCAAGACATTCACATACCCAAACTCCTCAGCAGCTAGTGTATGCAGGGATGCTTCATTTGGTAAAGGAGGTAGCACATAGCCAGCAAGGCTAGTAGCCACTCAACTCATAGCCTTCTCCCCCATGGATCTGTCCAATCCCCTTTTAAAGCCATTCAGATTGGTGGCTGTCAGCACTTCCCATGGCAGCAAATTTTGTCGCTTAACTATACAGTGGGTGAAGAAGTATTTCCTTTTATCTGTAGCAGACCTCCCATCAGTCAGATTCATGAGATATTTCTGGGTTCTAGAGTTAATGGGAGAGAGAGAGAAATGTTTTCCTCCCCACTTTCTCTGTGCCATGCATTATTTTAAGCATCTCTGTCATGTCTCCCCTTCTTGCTTTTTTTTTCTGGCAGTTCTATTTTCTGTTCTGTTCCTAATTGTGTCTGACATGGAGTTTGCTTTTTTCACAGCAGCTGCACACTGGGCCGACATTTTCATTGAGCTTTTACTACTATCCAAGATCCCTTTCTTGCTCAGTCACTGCTAACTCAGATCCAATCAGCATATACTTGTTGGGATTTTTTGCTCCAGCGTGCATTACTGTACACTTGCTTACAGTGTACAGTAATGCACACTGGATCCCTTCGGAGCTACTTGCATTCCTTTTTTGTTTTAACCACTCTAAATGGTTTAGTCCCATCAGCAAACCTGGCCAATTCACTAACTCCTAATTCTGGATCATTCATTAATAGGTTGAAAAGTATTCGTCCTAATACAGAAACCTGTGGGACTCCACTGGTTGCATCTCTCCACTGGAAGAAATTGTCATTTGTTCCCACACTGTGTCTTCTGTTCTTAACCAGTTAGTGATCCATAAGGGGATTCCCCCCCCCCCCCATTATTCCATGACTGCTTAATTTGCCTGGGAGCCTTTGGTGAAGGACTTCATCAAAAGCCTTTTAGAAGTGAACAATGACTACTGGTTCACCCCTGTCCTCATGCTTTTTGAAACTATCAGAGATATCCAATGATAGTGAGACAAGACTTCCCCTTGCAGAAGCCATGGTGATTTTTTTCCCACCAGGGCTTGTCCCTCTATGTGTTTATTGATTCTATCTTTGATACTGGTTTAAAGTAGTTTATCCAGAACAGATGATAAGCTAACTGGCTTGTAATTTCCTGGACCCTGGATTCCCTGGATCCCTTTTTAAAAATGGGTGTTAGATTTGTCTCCATATGCAGCTCCTGTTTAAGTTTAGAATGCTAATACTTCTTCAGTAAGCATTGTTTGTTCTTCTTATCTTTCATTTAGGCCCAAATGAACCGGAACTCATCTAGTAAGTTTGTGGGGACACCTAAGCAATGTCAGATATTTCTTATGTTTATATCAGACTTGAACTTTCTGTTTATGAGCATGAACCTTTACAATCTATTGTTTCTTGGCAATGTATGTATGTTGTGATAACTGGGTGTTATAAATCAGGTTTTTTCTTTGTATTGGGGGGGGGGAGATTTCCCCCCAAAACAAAATTCCCTTCCTGCAAAAGTCTATTTTCTGGCAGTTGTTCAAAATATGTTCACAGTAAAATATTAACTGAAGCCTTTGTGGAAGGAAGTAGGCAGCTTTAGTGGATCTCATGGAAGATGATAGCACTAGAAACTGTCTCGCATATTGAAACTTGATGCTTGCATACTAGCTTTAAGAATAATGATCATGCTCCAGGCTATAAAGATTTTTCCTGTTTGTCTTCCTCCCAGCCTTATATGGGTGATAGCTTCTAGTTATTGCTAAAAATCATTTTTGCTGAAGTAATATATAAAAATGGAAGCACACATTTATATTTCTATAAAATAGAGGTAATTTTCTGTCCTAGCTTCTCTGTTATTAAAGGAGATTATTCTTTTTTTAATACAGATCTGCAGTCTCTTAAAAATGGTGTGAAAACAACCGCTGATTATGTGGGTCATTTAGATCAGGACTACACCATGGGTTTCAAGAGGTTAAACTTTCTTCTTAGTGCCATTTCCAGCTGCTGCTCTTTCATACGAACAGCTGTACAGGTTTTCCTTGACAGGACAAGTAATAACTACAGAGCTTATTTAGCTGGAAATATGGCATGTGGGAAGACATTAAAGCCTAATCACATAAAAGACCCCTACCTATGCAGCAAAAATAGTGTTGGTGTGACTTGTAAACAATTGAGAATGGTGTGGGATAGAAGAGGGGAGTTGAAATGCCCTTTCCTATTAGATGAGCAGAGGAACAAACAACTCATACTTTGAGGAGCAGTACAGGCAGTCCCCAAATTATGAATGAGATCAGGTCCTAAGAAAATGGAAAATCGACTTTAAGTCGAATTTGTATGTAAATTGGATCATGTATAGTCAGCCCTCCACTTGTGGGGGGTAGGGGTGCAGGACCTTCATGAAAGTGAAAAAAACACAGATATCTCTAAGCCCCTCCCTGCCCAAAATCACCAGTGCCGCCTTTTTGCACCAAGGAAATGCCCAAAGGAATTTCTCTTTCTGGAGGGGCAAGTCAGGAAGGCATGCTTTGGAAGCCTCCCTCTCTACCCTTTTGCTTCCTCTCTCTCTATGTGGATCCCTTTCTCTTTGTGGTGATGACAATTTTGTGAAGTAATTTTTAAAACATTAATAGGCTTTATGTCAGTTCTTTCATAAATATGTGTTCTTCATAAGTTGGATGCTTGTAACTCAGGGAAAGCTGCCATCTGCCAGAAAAACTACTACGAAATAACATAATGCAACATGCTATTTTCTGTAATTACTTATTTTGTAACTTTATCCTGCTTTTAGATTGGAGATCTTAAAGAGGCACATATCATTTATAAAATTTACTTATTTGCTTATTTTGTATGCTGTCCAATAGCCATAGACTCTCTGAGTGGCCCACAACATAATGAACAACATATAACATCAATTAAAAATACAATTCGTTTAAATAATCATAGCGTAAAATCAGTCAACAATCAGATCAAATCAAAATAAACTATGTATTAAAATAGCAAAAAAAGGTAAAAATGTTCATACTAAAAGTTTGTCTGGCATTAAAATCAGAAGTGGCAGCAGTAACACTTCTGTAAACTATTAAGCCAAACAAATGTAACAAAACACCTCACCCACCAAAATAATCACAAGAAAGATAGCTTTTTAACTGGCGTCTAAAAGAATACAAAGTTGGCGCCAGCTGAATCTTAGATGGGAGTGTGTTCCACAAACAGGGCACTATTATAGAGAAGGCCTTCCTCCTTACCACCTTCCCCTTTGCTTCACTGAGGGAGGAATATGGAAAAGAGCCTCCGATGATGACCTCAACAATCGGGTTGGTATAGCTGGAGATAAGCATTTCTTCAGATACCCTGGCCCCAAGCCCCAAATGTAATCGATACACTGCAAACTTCCATTTTAAAATTAAATCAAACCATCCCTGTTGGAGCTATAGCAGGCATTTTATGCCTGGATTCCTTTCCATAGGGCAGTTGCTCTTACATGTTCTCGTACCAAGGGAGGGGAGATTCCAGGTGAACCAGGAGACAGCTTCTTATATTGTCTTAATGTACCTCCTTCTTTTTCCTAGAATCCTTTTCATATAGTCATTTGTATTAGATTATTTATCCATCCCACCTTTTTCTTTTTTTAAGAAATCAAAACAGCTTGCATAATTAATTATTCTCCTCTTGTTGCTTTCAATATTATCCCCACAGCAAGTCTATGAGGTAGGTTGGACTGAGAGTCTGTGATGGACCCAAAATCACCCAATTGACTTCATGGCTGAGCAGGAACTAGAACCCAAATCACATGACTCCCAGCCTCACACTCTTAAACACTATACCACACTGTCTCTCACTGATCAGAAGAAAATATGAGGAAAATCAGACCAAAACAGATGATTCACGCTGCAATTCATGTCCATTTCACTTTAACATTTATTTGTATTACTTTATATTGCCACTTTATCAGTTGGAATTCTGTTCTATTACAAGCTTGCTGATTTTGTTAATTAAATGTCACTGCTTTCAACTGTTATCATATATCTTTCTAATTAGGTGAAGAATTAACAAAAGCAAAGTTTTCGGCATCTATTGAGTAAGTTTTACTTTTTAATTTCATTTGAATTTTATTTCTTCAGTTCCTCCATATTTCTGTATCCCTTACTGGATTCAGATGTTGTAGCTTAGGCTTTGCTATGGAGATTTGTTTAATTTTTCAGTTTATAAATAAATTTAATTCTTCATTCTGGCTGTTTTCCTCCCGTCCCATTCTAGTGATTTGTTGTTCATATCCAAATATATAACTCTTCATCTCTGAACTCATCAAAATTCATTTTTTTCCATTTACATTATATATCTTTGTGCTGAATAGTACTGGTATTTGTAAAATTTTATCTACTTAAACTTAAGCAAAAGAGTGCAAATTTAAATACATGTATTTGCTTTCATAAGTGAAAAGGTTGTTTTTAATCTCCCCAGATCCTCCAAGACTGTGCAGGAAATAGGATAGGTTTTTAAATAATCAGTTAATTACTTGTTTTCCATACAATCCTACATATGGGTGCTGGAATTGTTTTGGAACACTCTAGAACTAGATTAACATATTTGTGTGTGACTTTTCTCCACACTCACTACATACATACAAGGTGCATGGTTCTGCCTTCCTGCTCAATTCTTTAAAAAAGGACATTCTTGATGCTGTTTCCTGAGCCTTCTGCTGCCCTGACTGCACCATGTACACATGGAACAAATCTGGTTGCCTTGTTGCCTCTTAAAGTAGTTCTCATTGTCAAACGTCATGGCCCCTAAGAAAAGACAGAGAGTTGTAGCTGAAATAAATTGTTTCTGGAACATGTCTGTCTTGTGATTTATGCACATGATATTTCTGCATGATGATATGCACATGTCCCAAAATGAAAAGGGAGTTCAAGATGCATACAGCTTTTCTTGTGTTGAAATCTGACAGCTCTGTCCCTGATGTTTATGATTCCTGATGGGTTGGTAATATGTGATTATTACTAACAAAGAAAAGAATATAAGTTCATGCTCTTTAACAATGGACTTTTCATTTACACAAAGTCCCATCTGTGGGCTATATGTAGTATCCTTATTTCATTTGTAGTTACATTTAAACAATAAATTTCCTTTAAGTTCCAAAAAACAAAATTACTTGTTTAATAACTTAAAATAATACCAGTAGGACATATCTGAGTCTATGCTTTCTGACTTCCATTCTTTTGAGGTAGCTTAACCATAAACTTCTTTGAATTCTGTTCAGTTCCCAAAACATTTCATCTCATCTTTACTTATTTACCACTTATCATAAGTAGAAAATGTTAACAATATTATCTTTACTACCTAACCAGATAGCTTTCCTTTAAGCTTCTTATCTGAATCTTGTTGTTGTTTTCCGGAGCTTAGGAGGATCAAAAAGGATTGGGAGTAATCAACCTTTGTGTCACTTACAAAAGGTTAAGAAGCTAGAAGAGAAAAATACAGTAAACCTAGCCTAACTGAAAGAATATATCTGTTAGAACGGATAGTTACGAGTTTCGGTTTGTTACACAAGGTACTAAAAAGTTCTTGAAAGGTTCAGAAAGGTGCAAGATGCCAGAATACAAAATGCTTTAACAGGAAAGCAAAGACTTTTGGAGCAAAAGTGAATGTAATAAGAACAGAAGGACCACTGAATCTATATTTTCTCTAATAAGAAGTTATGTTTTTATGAAAACATGCATAGAAACTTTCAGCTTTTCCTACAGCACTGTAAACAGGTTAGATGCTTTTATACAAGTGCATGATGTTTGTTTATTTTGTGGTGAACCTGCAAATTAGGAAAGGGAACAATGACCTCTTGGCCTGGGATCCACTCTTTAGAAATTCTGGTGACTCATCCTCCCTGACCTCAACAATGTCATCTTCATCAACAGGTAAGAATATTGTTACTCAAAAAAAGCTTATGTGTATGTATGTTTTTTTGAAGAAAACCCACAATGACTACAGTGCCATGACATAAGATTTATAAATATACAGTTAAACTTAAGCCGAATTTTTACTGATAAATTAACAAGATTATTTAAAACATAATGTAACTGAAAGCACTTAACACCATTTGTGTTCCTATTTAGGCATGTCTCTTCCCTTTTAAAGCTGATTGCAAAATATTTGTTTAAATTCTGACAATTGTCACTTAAGAGTATATGATTTCTACACAAGCTATCTTTCCTCCATACTGGTCACATCTTGTAAAAGCAGAACGCTGTGCCATCAAGAAGAAAGGAAATTGGAAATAAGAGTAAAGAGAGATGATAGAAGAGTTTTGTTGTTGTTGTGTGGTGTGTGCAGTGACTATTTTGAATATGTAGCTCCAACAGGGCAGTACATCATGTCCTTCTAACCTAGCTAATATGTGTTATTTGTGGATTAAACAACCTTCACATAACCCTTAATTACTAGTAGCATTTTATGAGTGTTATTTAACCTTTAATCACCCACAGTGGCCAGGTTCACATGACACAGCATATACAAATTGGCAATAATAAATTGTTTATCTTTAGTTAAATAACCCACAGTGGCCCTGTCATGTCCTGCAAACTAGTCCATTCTCAGTGATAACAAAATGATATTTCTTAACAATACAAAAGGAATGCTAAAATCCCAATTGTGTTTAAAGGATGCCAATGTTTCAAACTATGCTTTTACATTTGTTCCAATCATATAATAATACTTACAAAAAATCTTACCATCTGATCAAGGGTTCATCTAATCTAACATTGTGTTTACACAGTGGCAAACTAGCTTCCTGTGGGAAACCAACAGAGCATGAGTGCAATATTGATTTTTTTCTATATCTGTTGGTATACTCCAAAACAAATACCTTGAGCTTGTCTTTTCATTCCTGATACACACAGTACTATGATCAGGGCTTTTTTTTGTCATAGAACGCACTGGAACAGTGTTCCGGCACCTTTCTTTCAGTGGATTTTACGAAGTGATTTTGGCTAGCAGATCAGCAGCAAACATAATTAGCACAGTGCCTGCAGGCTGCTATTGTGTCTGCGATCTGCTATCTGATAGTGAGAGATAGCTGCGGTGCTGCTCCACTGCTCCTTGGCTTGGGATTGGTGTGTGTGCTTACTGCTGGCTTCGATGTGAGTTCTGGCACCTTTTTTTTTTTTTTTTTACAAAAAAAGCACTGACTATGATTGATTCTTTTTCCTATACTATGCTGTGTATAGTATATTATATGTTAAGCATTTAGTGCACCAAAGAAGTTTACAGAACTTGTCCTAGTCATTTGCTTTTGTGCAGACTTAAAGCATGATGAGACATTTTTACTCTGACTGTGTCAGGCACAATACTGTCCAGATTTACCAAGATCAATAGCAAATTTGCAGCTTTCTCTCTTTCATGTGAATTTGGAATCCATAGTTAGTCAAACACCATCATCTTCAGTATTTCAACTTCATACTGCCCAATTGCAAATCTCCCTGGGCAAAAGATTAAAAGCCTAAAAATACAATATAAAACACATACTGATTAAGACAAATTATATACTGACCTGGCTCAGAGGCCATTATAAACTATAGTGTATTGCATGAGCCCAGCATGGTTTAGTCCAGGTGGCTTAACTTATAGGGCATCCTGAGAAGCCATGACCTGTAGGGTTTGTTTCACTCACAGTGGACCCAGATGACACAACCCATTATGGGTTAACCCAAATCACTAGTGAGTCACTTGACAAGAGTAGCAAAAACTGCATGTCATTCTTGGCCAAGTCTCTACTGGGCAAGTGCCACTGCCAACCACCAAAAAAGTGCCCAAGCTGCCAAAACAGAAATTATTAAAAGTATTTTAAAAGCCACCTTTTGCAATCACTGGAAAAAATAAGGGAAAGAAAGCTGCTGTGAATAGAAATGGCCGGTGATCATGGTGGGGAGAGAAGGGCAACTCAGTGCTCCTGCGGTGTCCCCTGCAATATCTACAGGACAACAAAGAAGGAGAGAGGGGATGTATAACCCATGATTGCCTGATCATCTGTTGGGAACATTACAGGGCCTGAGTTGATTCACCCGCACTGGGTGGCTTTTGCTGCAGTGTGGTTATGTGGGTTGTATGTAGTCCAAACCTTCTCATCATGTGGGAAATCTGTCTTTCGATGTGACAGTATCTTACTCTTTTCCTAAAAGTAGGCAGTTGTCCCCCCACCCCACCCCCCTAGAGCTGTAGTTTTGTTTACTTTTGCAACTGATAGAGCTGTAGCTAACACTTTTTCCTTGTGCTAGTTTGCCAGGTACAACAGCCCCTGGGAACTGCCAGGGGCAGCATACAGGCACTCACGTCGCCCCTGTATGTTTTCTCCTCTGTAGCTAACAGCAACCTCTTTATAAACAGTTTGCATTGGGAAACCAGTCTGAGGAGAAAAGGTTAACTTACCTTGCCTCCAAATCAGATCTCTGCCCTGAAAGAATAGGGGGACCCAAACATAAACTTGATCATAAGCAATACACCAAAGAAATTATATCTGGCTGTTACTTATAGATGTTAGTTTTTCTGCAAAGTAATCTGGCTAAGTCCCGTCTTTTTTTGTGAATGGTTTGAGCATAGTTAGGAAAAGTAATACTACTTTATATAATTGAAGTATGGAATTGTTTAAGCTTAAGAACTCTTATAATTTCTAGTATTACCTTTCAGAGCAGTGCTTGTATGTTTACTTCTACTCAATCACCAATGTTCTGGTTTGTATGATTAAAAAGTATTTCCATTCAGCTGTTTCTATTTTTCCTTTAAAAGTACTTTTAGATTTGTTTTTATTCTAATAATTAGTATGCCAGTATATTTTATTTCCAGTGTTTACAAATAAGATTATAATACAAATTTCCTAAAAGCTCATTATTCCCTTCCAGCAAGACCAACAACCCCTCTTTCTGTAGGCACCTTGGTGCCTCCCCCAAGACCAGCTTCTAGACCAAAGCTGACTACAGGGAAGCTCAGTGGAATTAATGAAATTGTAAGCATATTTTTACTTCAGTTATAACTAACTGTAGCCTTGTCTACTTGATTGTATGCCTTGACACATTTCTAATTTGCATTCAGCCAAGGCCATTCAGCCCACCTTTGACCTCCAGTTCCAGTCCACCCCCCTCAGCTCCTTTAGCACGTGCAGAGAGTTCCTCATCAATATCATCATCTACTTCCTTGAGTGCAGCAAATACACCCACAGTTGGTAAGTCACTGTCTGCAAATAAGGCTATAGTACCATCTACATCTTTTGTAGCTTTTGATGTATGTGATCGAAACGGGATATACATAATATATTTATAAATTTATTATAAAATATGAAATAGTTTGTTTATTTAAAATATGTAATCTACTTTGAAAAGTATACGCATACCATTTTACAAGAGAATTGTAGCAGCACCATGTACAAGCAATGCAACTTGTATACCTGGAATAATAGGATCTGTTTGGCAGGATTTGAGACATGAGCAACAAATTTGTTTTATTTTCCATACATATGTAATACATATATGAGAAAAACTCAAAAGGCACAATTCTGTGAATATGTAGAAAGATAACAGTTCTACAACAGGAATGTTGTCTATTTAAGGTTCTTTTTGAAAATAATTCTTATGGGCAATGACCAACACTTATATGGAAACATAAACCTCCTTTATCTCCTGTTCATTGGGTTGTTTGCACATAATGCATACAAATCATGGGTTACCCACAATTACCCACAATTTGTTGTGATGTGTTGGGCATATACTGTAGCTTTTTGGATGTTCACCCTCTGATCAGGAAGTGCTACATGATTTTGAACCTGGACACTCTAACTTAATCATGGGTTAAATGCCCCACAATTGATCTACAGTTCATGGATAACTTAATTGCTTTTCACTCAAGCGTACAGTAGATGTGATATGATGTGATTTTTATATTTCTTATATGTTCATACATTTATATGATTTTTATATTTTTGTAATGTCTTTGAATTCCAGAATTTCTAGGGAAATAGCCTAAAACCTGCATCACTTAATATTTGTTTATTAGTGTTACTTAGATTTCAAGTTAACAGCAAGTGTCTAATAAAAATTATACCCAAAATCATCCATATTTGAAAGTACTGTTCATGGAAATGAAACTTATAAGCTATATGTATTCTAGGAATTTCACGCGGCCCTAGCCCTGTCAGCCTTGGAAATCAAGACACGTTGCCTGTTGCAGTAGCCCTTACTGAATCTGTAAATGCCTACTTCAAAGGAGCAGATCCTACAAAGTTAGTGAAATAATGACTTGTTTTGAATTATTAATGAAACTATGGATTGTTTTATTCATCAACTACTGTATCTTGAACTTTCCGTAATATTGGAGTATGTGTACCTGCATCACCGTTCTGTAGGCCAGTGGCCCCCCCATCTGTTTTGACCCCTGGGAACATTTGGAATTTGTGAAATTGCAGTGGGCATCACCATAAAATAGATCCTATGGAGAATATGGGTTTAATGGATGTCATGGAGACCTGGGCTAGTCAAAAGACAAGTAAATCACTCAAGAAACTGAGTTCAAGCCAAGGAAGGGCATGGACATCAAAGTCAATCCTCATATTTTATTCCCACTCAAAATAAACAAACAAGCAAACAGACCTATTTACATACGCAGTTGTGGGCATGCATACATGGAAGTCTGTGGAGATTAATTCTGAGTAAGTGTACATAAGATTGCTCTGCTTATCTTGTATGCACATACCTGTCCCCATGGCCAAAGAAAAGGAAAATGCCTGTAGTCCCAGAAGGAAATAAGAGGTTTTCACTGCTTTGAGTCCTGGCTCAGCCACTCCATTTGCCATCTAGCACTTCTGTCTCTGCCTTCAGAGCCCTCATGTGGGAAGATGCAGTGTGTGTGTGCCAGTGAGAGTGAGAGAGATAGAACACAGGTGAGAGCTCATTATCAAGCCTATGCTGTAGCAGTGAGGGTGGCAAAGAGCGCATTCTTCTCCACCCACAGCACATCTCAGTGCTGTCCAGTGGAGCTATTCCAAGCGGTTTGTGGCTTCTTGTGAACTTGCCCTAAGAAGATCAAGTGGAATCCTAGGCAGCCCACTGTGACGAGCTTGCACAGTATTTTGAGGATAAAGTTGCTCGCATTTGGCACAAATTGGACTCCACAATTAATGTAGTTCTCCCAACTGAGGAGTCCAGAGCACTATCTGGTCCTATTCTATTGGATACATTTCAATTATTGAGGCCTGAGGATGTGAACAAGGTTCTTGGACAAGTTCAACCTGCCATCTGTATACGCAACACTTTTCCCGCATGGCTGATCATCCAAGCCAAAGAGGAAATGTGTACTTGGATCCAAGAGATCGTGAACGCCTCTCTGAAGGAAGGATTGGTCCCAGCCCCCTTGAAGGAGGCAGTAGTCAGACCTCTCCTGAGGAAGGCAAGCTTGGGCCCAAATGATATTAACAATATCATTGTAGGACAATGGCCAACATTCCCTTTTTGGGCAGGGTGTTTGAGCAGGTGGTGGCTGGGGAGGAAACTTGAGGGAAACTGACCATATCCATCTATTTCAATCTGACTTTACACCTGATTTTGGGATGGAAATTTCCTAGGTCTCCCTGTGGGAGGGCCTTTGCCAGGAGAAAGACAGTGGGGGTATGTCCCTGTTGGTTTTCCTGACCTCTCGGTACTATCAGCTGTGGTATCCTTCTGGATAAGCTGGTCAGGTTGGGAATTGGAGGTACTGCTCTGCACTGGTTCTGCTGTTACCTGACTGGCTGATTCCATAAAGTGGTGCTGGAGGATAGTGGCTATGGGCCATGGCACTTGCGCCATGGAATTTTATTTTATTCTCCATGCCATTTAATATCTTCATGAAATCTCTGGGAGAGGTTATCCAGAGGTTTGGGCTGAAGTGTACTGATGACACTCAGTTCTACCTCTTGTTTTCATCTAACCCAGGTGAAACAGTGGCCATTTTGAGCCAGTGTCTGAGCAGGGTGATGGACTGGTTGTGGGCCAATAAATTGAAGCTTATTCCAGATAAGATTGAAGGTACTGTTGATAGGTGAGTCTTCTGTCCAGGTGGACAGTATCCATTCTGTCCTGGATGGGGTTGCACTCCTTCTAAAGGACAGGGTTTGGAGTTTCAGGGTATTCCTGCAACCAGAGCTATCTCTGAACTACCAGGTGGCTTCTGTGACCCAGAGTACCTTCTGTTAGCTGCTCCCTTACCTGGACAGGGAGAACCTAGCAACAGTTATTCACACTCTGGTAACCTCATGTCTGAACTACTATAGTGCACTCTACGGGGGTTGCCCTTTAAAAGAGTCCAGATACTTAGTACAGAATAGGGCTGCCTGCCTATTAACATGAACTAGTAGGCAAGATCACATAATGCTAGTCCTTTATTATTAACACTGATTACCAGTTGAAGTCTGGGTTTGCTTTAAGGTGCTTTCATTAACATATAAAGCCCTAAATGGGTTGGGGCCTGAATATCTGCAGGGAGCATCTCCTCCCATGTATATCTACCTAGACCTTCAGGTCATCTACTGAGGTCCTTTTCGGCTACTCTTTAAAAGATGCAAGGAAGGTGGCAAAAAAGGGAAGGGCCTTTTTGGCTGTGGTTCCCCAGGTATGGAATCAGCTTCCCAGAAGTGTGCACCTGACACCGAATTTATGTGCTTTTCAGTGCCAGGCTAAAACCTTTTATTTTCCCAGCATTTTAACTGTTAAATAGGAGAGTTATATCTTATTTTATATCAGTGTTGGATTGCCTGGGATTGGTTGCTGTTAAGTCAATTTATGTTTTTACTTGATTGTATTGTTTTTTGGTATTGGTTTTCCCCTCTTGTAAACTGTTCAGAGAGCCCCTGGCTAAGTGAAGAATATATAAAAGCTTTTATAAATAAATGAATAGGGAGCGAGCAAGGCTAGAAAGTAGGAGGGGATGCAAAGAAGAAGCTAGGGATGTGGGCA